TGTAGGGACTCCCATCTCCAAAATGGGCGGTCTTTCCCGCGTGGTACCCACGTAAGAGCTCGCCAAAGTTTTTTACGGGCAAGCTGCTAACTCGCGGACCAGTAAAGCTAGAGAGCTGAAATTTTATGGAAATGTTCCCCATCCAATTAGGTACTAATGAGCTCAAAACCAACTCCCGGGTAAGTGTTGTACCCGCGTACGAGCCCGTCAAAATTTTTCCCACGTAAATTCATAACCCGGGGCTCTGAGATGCTAGAAAGCTGAAATTTTAAGGGAATGTTCTCCGCCCAAATAGGTACTAGTGAGCTCAAACTCAACCCCCGGTAAGCGTGGTACCCGCATACCCGCATAATTTTTCCCGCGCAAATTCATAACACGGGGATCTAAGATGCTAGAAGACTGTAAAATTAAGAGGGTGTTTCGCGTCCACAATAGTCTCAACGAGATCAAACCCAGCCCTCGGTCATGCGTGGTACCTACGCACGGGTTCACCAAAGTTCTTCTCGAGTAAACTCATAACTCGAGAACCTGTAAAGCTAAAATACTGTAGTTTTAAAATGTTTCCCGTCCAAGTAAGTTTCAGCGAGCTCGAACCCGGACATCGGGCATGCGTCGTACCCGCGTGTGGGCCCGTGAAAGTTTTTTCCAGTAATTTGCTAACTGAGGAGCCAGGAAAACTAGAAAGCTGAAATTTTAAGGGGGTTTTTTCTGCCAGTTCTGGCAACCAGTCTTAATTTTTTTAGCTTGAAGCATTTGCCGAAAAAACCGGTGCCGGTAGTAACAAAAATTGCGGGGAATTCTCCAAAAAATGCATCTTCACACGGGCAGCCCGTGCGTTGTATTGCAATCTGCATATATGCAAAAACGCATAACTAGCAACATTTCTCTCTTTCTTGGATCCTTCACTCCATGTATTCACTTTTATAGAAGTTGTCAGCTTTTTCTCGCTGGTTTTTTGTTGGCATTCGCTAAGCATTTGCCATCACTGTTTTACTAAGCTCTAATTAACTTCCAGAAGGCAAGAGTATTCGTATTTAACTAGAAATATAGCTACGAGGATAGCTTTAAAAGGTCCGCATTCGCATAACTAATTCCTGCTACTGTAAGAGTAAAGCATAGGCAGTGCATCGTTGGTCGTAGTATCTTAGACTATTACCATTTCCGACAGTAGTACGTGCAGAAACGATGACAGAATTAGCATTCAGAATGTTGTGGCTCACCTTGTTCTGAAACTCCTGCCTCCGTTGTTCGTGCTCATCCAGGTATCGTTTGAAATCACTGAGCTGCCTGCGACTTAAAACTTCCTCCGCTAATTTACTGAAATATACATTGATTTCATGTCAGTCCTTCAGCGCCGGGAGCGTCAAGCAAAGAAAGTTTGAGTAAGAAAAGAAATCGTATTTTTTAATCAGAAAGTTGGCAAAATTTTGACACTTTTATTACACTTTATGCATAGCAATATAGAAAAGTTGACAAGCGCAGCGACTGCACGAAGGTGTGCTGCGGTGAGATAACAGCTAACCAGTGCCTTTTTAACAAGTGTTTCATACCAAACAATTTTCTAAAAATGTAAACTGCTAAGTAGAAAATCGAACTTGATGATGTTTGCACTTCCCACTTACATTAATGCCCACATCCGACTTCTATAAAATTCTGTTTTCGACTTCTACGAATGCCCGCTCCTGATTTTCATAAATTCCGTTCATCCAGTAATGTGCCTTTGAGCAGATTCTTGCTATTTTGCTATGTCATGACAAAACAGTTCAAAATTTGGGATTAGCTGCACATGAAGAGATCTCTTCAAGAATTTGCTGCTTTGCTCCCTTCTAAGAGATGTGCTATTT